GGCTGGGAGGGAATAATGGGACATACTATACAGGGGCTGGAAGGGGATGATGGGCCACGCCATGAACGGGGTGGGAGAGGATGATGGAACATGGCCATTCATAAGTTGGGAGGGGATGATGGGATAAGCCATGCAGCTCCTGGGAGGGGATGATGGGCCATATCATGCACGGGCTGGGAGGGGATGATGGGTTAATCCATGCAGCTCCTGGGAGGGGATGATGGGCCATACTATGCACGGGCTGGGAGGGGATGATGGGCCTCGCCACTGAGGAGGTGGTTGGGAGAGGATGAGGGAACATGCCTTGCAAGGGCTGGGAGGGGATGATGGGCCTCGCCACTGAGGAGGAGGTTGGGAGAGGATGATGGAACATGCCTTGCACGGGCTGGGAGGGGATGATGGGCCTCGCCACTGAGGAGGAGGTTGGGAGAGGATGATGGAACATGCCTTGCACGGGTTGGGGGCAACAAGGATCCCTACCATGCCCAGATAGGGAGGGGACGATGGGACATTCCTCCCTCTCCCCGATGGAGAGCCGGGGGGGGGGGTTGCAACTCCGCTCCGCTTTGTCCCATTAGAGTCCCCACCCCCACTTTGCCAAGCGGACCGGGCGCCGGCAACTTGCAAAATAAAAAAACCCCAAACCCTTGCAAACATTAAAAAAAAAAAGCCCTTGCAAAAAAAAAAAATGCATTTTTTTAAACTTGCAAAAAATTAAAAATAAATTGCAAAAAAAATAAAAATGCAAAAACAAAAACAAAAACAACCGTTGCAAACCCCCCCCCCCCCCCCCACCAAAATCTCCGCCGCTCCCGGGGCCGAGCAGCGCCTTGCAAAGCCCGGCCGGCCCTGGTCCCGTCCTCCCCTCCGGTCCCTTCTCACCTCGGTGCTTGCAACGGCCGAGCCTGGCTTGCAAAAAGCCCCGGCAAGATCTCTCCGGACTAACTTCCTCGGGCCGAGCCGCCGCCGGAGCCAAGGGGGCTATATAAGGGGGAGGGCCGGAGAAACTTCTGGAAAGATGGTCGGGGAGGGGGGGGGGAGAACTTCTCCAAAGACCTCTTGCCAGAGGAGCCCCTCCCCGCCTTTCCTCGCCTCGGCCGGGTCCTAACGCCGCTCGGGTTGCAAAGCCTCCGCGGACGGATTTCATAAGAGTGGGAAAGGGACCCGGGAGGTCGTCTAGTCCAACCCCACCCCTCCTCCCTCGCTCGAGCGGGAGAGTCTCTTCCAAATAGAACTGCTCCGCTTTGCGACCTCTGCCTCCTCTTTTATCTTCGCAAACGCAAGCTTGCGGGGCTTTGCAAAGCCAGGGTAAGCGCTGCACGGAGTTTGCAACGCCGAGTAACTTCCGACAGCCCCGCGAGTTAGGAGATGGGGCGATGGAGAGGGGGGTCCCCAACCGTTTCCCACGCCTCCCCGAATCGTAAATTGGAACAAGGGTTTTTTGGACTGGTCATAAAGTAAGTCACAGATGAACAGAGTTGGAAGGGACCTTGTAGGTCAATCTAGTCCAACCCCCGCCCAAGCAGGAGGAAGAGCGCTGGAGGGGGAGAAGCTGGGTGTGGGGTGCAGGGAGGGGCACGGGTTAAAAGACACCCCCCCCCCAAAAAAAGCTCTCGCTCTCACCCTCTCTTGCCCCAAGGCCAACCTGCAGGGTTGGTGTTGGGGATATGGGATGGAGAAGGCACAGCCCGTCATGGATGATGGGCTTTGCAAGGAGCAGCAGCACCATGGAACTGCAGTGATAATAAGACTGTGTTGCTTCTCTGTGTCATATAATATGCCTGGGTATGCACATAATTTTATATTTGTTTATTTATTTCGTAATTTATTCAGGCATGGTTATGTAGCATATATTGGATATATATCCTTTGAGAACTGCATGCAACGAAATTTCATTTTAATGTATTAGTGTATATTCAAAGTGACCATAAAGTTATTCTATTCTATTATATTTTCTAATTTATTCTCTATTCCCCTATTCTATTCTGTTCTGTTCTATTCTATTTTATTTTCTATTTTATTCTCTATTCTATTCTCTATTCTAGTCTATTCTATTTTCTATTTTATTTATTTTATTCTCTATTCTATTCTCCTATTCTATTCTATATTCTATTTTCTATTTTATCTGTTCTATTCTATATTCTATTCTATTTTCTATTTTATCTATTCTCTCTATTCTAGTCTATTCTATTTTCTATTTTATTTATTTTATTCTCTATTCTATTCTCCTATTCTATTCTCCTATTCTATTCTATATTCTATTTTCTATTTTATCTGTTCTATTCTATATTCTATTCTATTTTCTATTTTATCTATTCTATTCTATTCTATATTCTATTCTATATTCTATTCTATTTTATCTGTTCTGTTCTATTCTATTCTATTCTATTCTATTCTATTCTATTCTATTCTATTCTATTCTATTCTATTCTATTCATTCTTATTCTATTATATTCTACATCCCAATATCCTATTCTATTCTATTCTATTCTATTCTATTCTATTCTATTCTATTCTATATTCTATTCTATTTTATCTATTCTTTTCTATATTCTATTCTATATTCTATTCTATATTCTATTCTATATTCTGTTCTATTCTAATACTGGAGCACCCCTTGAACACCATTTGCATTGACAAAAACCCCGTCAGAATCAGGATAGAGCTGGAAGGGACCTTATAGAGGTCTTCTAGTCCAGCCCCCTGCTCAATCGAGAGACCCTCTACCATTTCAGACAAATGACTGTCCAGTCTTAAAAACCTCCGGTGACGGAGCGCCCGCGATTTCTGAAGGTAAGTTGTTCCACTGGTTAACTGTACTTTATTAAAGTTTTTCCTTAATTCCAGGTTGCGTCTCTCCATGATTGGTTTCCATCCATCGTTTCTTGTCCTGCCCTCAGGGGCTTTGGAGAATAATTTGACCCTCTCTTCTTTGGGTCAGCTCCTCAAATGCTGGTGTAATGCTATCTTGTCGCCCCTAATTCTTCTTTTCTCTACACTGGCCATAGCCAAATCCTCCAACCATTCTTCCTATGTTTTAGTCTCCAGGCCTTTGATCCTCTTAGTTGCTCTTCTCCATAGTCACCAAACGCGGTAGTAACACAGGTTGAATCGCACCCTTGCTCGAGACTCACGATTTAATTGGGGAAATAACTGCCAGAATCCTGACTGCTTAGCCGAACCCCATCTAACATCCCCAATTGCCTCTCCCAGATCCTTGAGAAGGACTCAGAGGGGTGGATCCAAAGTGCTAAATCCAGCCTGAACATCTGGCTGACTGTGCGGTGCGATGAAAAATAAGAAGCCCAGAATTGACAGGTTTGTCTCTGGAAAACCGAGGGGGAAACTCACATGGAAATGCAAAAGAAAAAAAAATTGGATTAGTGCAACGTGGGTTGCAACCATTGGATGATGTCTTCCACTTCGTCTGGTGGGTGGGGAGTTTGCTAAAAGAGTGAAAAGTTTGTGCAAAAGGAACGAAACGTATTTTTGCAAAAGGGACGAAAAAAATTTAGAACATACATACATTAAGAGCTCTGGGTGTGTATTTCTTTCCTCTTAACATAACGGATCTCCTGCTGGATTCCCCCAGTTCTGGATGGTCCTCCCCAAATTTAAACCATCCCACAAATATTGTAAACCAGCAAGCATCCTTAGGGCAGCTCTATGAATCGGTGCTCTCTAACTGCGATCCTAAGTAGCATCTTCGGACACTCCAAAAGTTGTCGGGCCATCAAAGTCTCGGAGGGAAAAGGCTGTGAGACGGTCCCCAAATTTCCATCGCTAACCAAGGCAGTTGTTAAATGAGTTAGGACCTTTTTTTTGCCACAATTGTTAAGTAAAACACTGCAGTTGCTAAGTGAGGAAGGAAGGAAGAAGAGAAAGGAAAAGAGAAAGGAAAGAAAGAAAGAAAGAAAGAAAGAAAGAAAGAAAGAAAGAAAGAAAGAAAAGAAGGAAGGAAGGAAGGAAGGAAGGAAGGAAGGAAGGAAGGAAGGGAGAAGAGGAAGGAAAGAAAGAAAGGAAGGAAAGGAAGGAGGAAGAAGGAGGCAGGAGGAGGGGGAGAAAGGAAGGAAAGGAAAGGAAAAAGGAAAGAAAAAAAAGGAGTGGGAGAGAGAAAGGAAAGAAAAGAAAAAGAACGTTTATTAAGAGAATTGTGCCCAATTTTATGATTGTTTTTGTCACACTTTTTAAACAAATTGCAGCAATTGTTAAGTTAGGAAGAGAAAGGGAAAGGGAGGAAGGAAGAAGGAAGTGGAAAAATGGGAAGGAAGAAGGAAGTGAAAGAAAAAGGGAAGGAAGTGAAAGAAGGGAAGGAAGGAAGTGAAAGGAAAAGGGAAGGAAGGAAGGAAGAAGGGAGTGAAAGAAAAAAGAGAAGGAAGGAAGGAAGAAGGGAGTGAAAGAAAAAAGGGAAGGAAGGAAGGAAGAAGGGAGTGAAAGAAAAAAGGGAAGGAAAGAAGGAAGAA